TTAATCTGAGCTGAGCTCAGATTAATCCTCAGTGCAGGATTAATCTGAGCTGAGCTCAGGTTAATCCTCAGTGCAGGATTAATCTGAGCTCAGCTCAGGTTAATCCTCAGTGCAGGATTAATCTGAGCTGAGCTCAGGTTAATCCTCAGTGCAGGATTAATCTGAGCTCAGCTCAGGTTAATCCTGCACTGAGGATTATTAATCTGAGCTCAGCTCAGATTAATCCTGCACTGAGGATTATATCTTTATTCACATTCCACTTTTAAATCTTCTTTCTGAGAGCACTGCAGCACGACCACATAATCCCTGAACTCTGCTTCTGTCAGGCTTGTTCCTGTTTCTTTACAGGATGGTGATTTTAAATATGTGTTTTTATTCTGTTAAAGTTTGGGTTTGTTTTCAGAGTGCCTTGTTTTATTTTTACACTGATAAATGTTGACTTTTTTTTTCTTTTGTTATGAACATTGAAACCAAAGTAAGGACATCATTCTGGCCTCTAGGTGGTGCTGTTGTCTAGTTAATCACTTTGTAAATGTAGTTAAAGGTTTGGACAGTTTTCACACAGATCAGTCGAGTCTCACAAGCTTTGCTGCATTCTCTCAACTCTCACATGATCCTGTTCAAATGTTGTACTCCTTACATGCACACACACAGCGCACATAAGTTTGAGGCAATGTGCTTTTTTCAGAAGCAGAGTGGTAAAATAAGAGTCAAACTATCTGACAAACGGGCACAAATAATGTATCTTCTGTTAAACAAATAATCAGGTTGATCTTTCACTGTCTTATTGATGTCTCTGCCAAATAATGAGGTCATCCAAGGGTTGACTGTTTAAAATGAATGGACCAATGAAGAAGAAAACTCAGTTGTTGTTTCTGTTTTATATTATTTGTATTCTAAATAAAACTTTGTGCCTGTGTTAACCCAAAGATAACTTGTCTGTAGCTTATTTAATCCTCATAAACCAACTTCCTGTCAGATTTCATTCAGTAATAACCGACTGTAGTATTCATGGAGTTAAAGGGATGTTCATTCAGGCTAATGGTTGTTAGGATTTCTTACCTCATCAGCCTGATAATCTGTCACAGGGTGAAGTGGAGAAAAAGATGGGAGTTTTTGATTTTGTAGGCTGTGTGTGGTCAAAAATTACCACCAATATTTTTGTTTTATTTAGTCTTTTATAAGAAAAAACGAACAGATTTATTTTTCAGTCAGTTTTTCACCATATGATTCATACATTTAGAAATGTCATAGTTTACAAAATAAATATTTAACTTACAAATTCAATAATTAGTTAACAAGCTAAATATTTAATTTGCA